TATGAAGACTGCTGTTGTTTTAACATATGTTCCCGTTCTATAAATATTACTTTTCGTATAGCTGACATTTGAAAATGCTCTTGTCACTGGAAAATAATACACTTCTAAAAAGTTATATCGTTTACCGCCCTTAGAAGTAAAGTACGGTAATGTTTAAAGCTTGCTGGCTTTTTATCTATCAGAAATATTTTTTTATTTTACAACTCTATTACTTTTAGTATTTTTTTTTTTCAATAACAAAATAGTGATAATACGAAAAATAAAACAAAAAAACACAAACACCACACACACACCAATAACACACGCACAAGAGCAATCATGCACGCCCACATAACATTTTATGACATTTATCGATTTAAAACACATAAAATCAAAAAGTACACAGTTGAGAGATTTAGAATAAAATGCTCAATCCTTTATCATCTCGTTTTTCTACTGTTCACTGATTTGAATTATATTGGTGTATGTGCAACCATAATTCTGTATCGGTAGTTTACATTACAATAATTTTGCATCAGGTATATAGCTTTATACACTTTAAGTGTATGAGCCATTTGGCATTCTCAACAGTCTTCTTGATACACAGTTACATTCTATACTGTTGGTTATATAACGTAATATATAATCTTGCACTCTTTCTTCAATTAATGTACCGTATATTCAACACCTGCTCATTCGATCGGTAACGACAAATAATAATTTGTACGTTAAATAGGTAAAGAACCAGTCCTTTAGCACGGTCACTAAAATTAGTTTGAAATGAGCATTGACCGTATAAAAAGACATATCAGTTTTCAGTTAATAAGCGCTGCTAGCGTCATTTTTGATCGTAAACTTAAGGGAGTTTCAATTTGAACTAGTAGCACTTCGTGAGCACTTTAGGTATTCTGCTTGTTGTTAAACTTCATGCGCGTGTAGCGTCTTAATCGTCTGATCGATGTAAATGATCATCCAAGTTCCACACGTTACTGCAGTATATTTACTTACAGTGCACGAGGCACAACTATAGGAGCTGGTTAAAATAGATAACACGTTTCATCTAACCTTGTTATCTTAAATCAATAATAAGGGCTGAACTGTTCAGCCTCCATGACAATCGTTTACTCGTACACAGTGTTTTGCTTGGTCATTGTTTTTGTGTATTTAGAAGTCATACATATGTTGTGACCGCTTATAACCAGTGCACACGATAAGGTTTTGACATAAATAACTCTTGATAATTTAAAAGGGGACACATTTTGCCTCAGGCAAATATAACAATATTTGTGATAACTTAAAAAAAAGTTCTGAACATATTTTTATGAAACATAAAATGTGGATATATGATCGTATTTAGATATGCACGTCAAGGTTCACAACTCTAGCACTAAAATAATCACAATTACAATAAGAATTGAACTTGAATTTTCGTGAAAAATTGTTGTTTTTATTGTGTACTTTTTTATTTCTAAACGTATCATTTTTAAACTTCAAATATATGTTTTTTTATCATCACTCACATCATATGTGGCAAGGTTCATAATTCTAGCATCTATACGTATAATGATAATTTACTGTTGTTTTTTTTCTTCAAAATTTACTTTCAACTATATGTTCAGTATCAACATTATATGCGATTAACGTTATAAGTCAAGCACATGGCTTTCCATGATTTTTTTTCATTTGACCTTGGAAATGTTTTAAAAATTGTTATTTCTAAACTTCTTCTGAGTTACTGTAAATGGTATCTACATTGCTCATTAGACTTAAGATAATTGTTCTTTCCCATCACTTCCATCATGTATGACAACGTTCATAATATAAGCATCTTTATTTCAACAGTTATTTCCTCTTTAGTTTAAGAATTTTGATTTTAAAAGTGTTATTTTCTGGTTACAACAAGTGATGTTTAAATATTTGCCCTCTGTCTGTCAGTCGGTTCCTAAAAATAATTTCAACAAATCTCCTGAAAAATTGAAACATTTCTAATGCATAAAAATGAGTCTTTTGATTATGTGTCGTATTAAACATAATTTCCTTATAAGACAGGAAATCTTTAACACATAACTATGATACAGACAAACTAGCTAAGAACACAAACGATTTCAGTTCTTTCATGTCATTCATTCATTCAGTGGCATAATTGAATGGCAAATGCTCTTCAGACTGTTGCTGGGGTTCTTACCGGTGAGGAACTTATGTATTGCTTGCAAATTTTTGCTTGTTAAGGGGGCGTGAGGGATGCTGCACGTATTCTTTATCCCTCGTGTACAGACTCAATCAAATCGAGTCTGCAGTTCTCTTGTCATTGTGTTGTGATTAATGCTTCCGAGGGATCACTTTGTTTCTAGATTTTTATACTTCACAACAGCAGGTGCCAGGTGCTGTGTGGCAGCTGTAAAAAGTTGCCTCGCACTTCAGTGTTGTTATATTTTTCTGGTCCTTCAGGATCATTGATGCCAGCACTATTGAGTATTGAGAATTAAGTACCACTCAGGCCGGTGCTAGGGGGCGTGAGGGATGTTGAACGTTTTCATTTTCCCTGAATTACAGAGTCAATCAAACCGAGTCTGCAATTATCTTGTAATTTTGTTGTGATTAATGCTTCCGAGGGATCACTTTGATTCCAGATTTTTTTATTGTTTAAGTCATTGCGGCGGTCCCGTTGCCGTTGCCGCCCCCAAACTTTAACGTTGATCATTACCTTTTAAGTTATTAGTGTATTGTCTTCATACTTGACCAAAAAAATGTTTGGGACAAGACCTTTAAGTGGACTAGATTAAACTTGACCTACAATCATAAATGACCTTGAACTTAGAGGTCAAATGTCTTAATTGTGCTTGTTTTGCTTTTACATTGATAGTTTTGAATGGACTATCTTCAAACTTCGTAAGTGCAAATATTCTTTTATTTTATATGAGAATTGGAACGAAGTGCGCATGTATTAACTGAAAGAAGTAGCCCCGCCTCAGTCGGACAACGTAACATAGCATGATCCAGGTCAACATTTCTTTATATAATCAAGCGATTACGGTAGCGGTTATTTTTCTTATAATTCCATTGAGTAAATATAGACAAACCTAAATATTTTGGACATTTTGATCCAGAAATACAGGATTATTGTCATTTAAACATTTATTAATTAATGCACACAGTTAGGCACATGAAGGGTATAGTTTCATTCGGATTTACACATTGATTAGGGGTTATCTCAATCTTCAGCGGCAAATTATACAGAGAATGGCTAAGGCTCTCATTCACGTCCAATGTTGTCCAATGTTTTCCAGAAGAAATTCAGCGCTACACGATGTAAATAATATGCACTCTGTCTCTACCTTTAATTGCTATCTATATATATATATTGACTGGCGTACCTGATTAAATATCCTCTCAAAACTCCACGATCGTATTGTAAACAACTTTCTATAGACTGAAGGCGTTCCATCGGGGTCAAATGAAGTTAAACACAAAGTAAATTAGTATTTATTTATTAAGTGAACATTTCAACAATAAATAACCAAGGCCGCTGTCTACGGTTTCTTCCTTTGAGTCTGGCTTGTAATTGTTAAAATTTCACTTAATAAACATTAACATGTACATAGAGACTGTGGAAAATATTATTAATTTGAAGGAAGTTTTGCGGATTTGTTGATTTTTTAAACTTAATTGCGATGATCTAAATTGGTCTAGAATCGTTGGTTGACTTTAGTTGTATTTGTTTGGTTACATATAGTTGGTCTTTATAAGTTGAGTTGTATTGAGTTAATTTGTCTTGTCAAGATTATCATATAGTTGATGATTTGGTTTCAAAAAAACTTTGATCTATTTTTGATATGATAATTTTGCTTATTTTTAAAACACAATTTAGGAAACAAACTAAGTTAGTCAACATGTTTATCAAGTTTGCTCATATTAAATTGATTTGCCCCTTTAAGCGGCCGCTAAAGCTAAGAAAGAAATCCCTTCAATTGTCTCCTTCTACAGAACTAATTGATGGATGATCACCAAACTTTGTCTGTAACATTCTTATGTAGTCTTTTATCAAGTTTCCTCATATTAATTTGATTGGCCGATAAAGCTAAACTTAGAAATACCTTTTAATGTCTCCTTCTACAGAACTAATTGATGGATAGTCACCAAATTTTGTCTGTAGCATTCTAAGGTAGTCTTTTATCCAGTTTGCTCATATTAATTTAATTGGCTCGTTTAAGGTGTCTATAAAACTAAAAACAGAAAAACCTTTAAAGATCATTTTATACTGAAACAATTGATAAACTTTGTCTGTAGCATTCTTAGATAGCCTTTTATAAATTTTGCTCATAAAACAATCAGTGATGTAAAAGAATATTAGAATATTACTAGAGGGGCAATTTGGACGAAAGTTAATCTTATTCTTACACAAATCCTCTAATAACAGTTCATATATTTGATTTCTTGTACTTTAGTATTTTTGATCTTCAGAAAATATTTGACAATTTTAACACATCTGTTTACATACAATGGATATCGTCCTAATTCTTCATTTATAGATACACTACTGGACGTTATTTTACATTTAGAATTCTTTTGCAAAATTTATCATTTCAATTTCTTTTTCAGTAAATCCCCGAAACTGCAGAAGGGTAACTTAAATTTGAGGAAACAAATGAATCAGTAAACTAAACATTGTCTTTGGGGTAAAATCAAAGTCCTTAGTATTAATTATTAAACAATTCATAGCTTTAAGCACCTTGCCGACGAGCAACTGTGTATTAGAGTTAAAATTTCCATTTGAGTCAAACACCACACCCAAATAGTTTAAGTTTTTTACAACAGCTAAATATTTGTGTCGTTGTAAGTGTTATTTTCATTTTCACGCAAAAGGTCCACGTTTTCTAAAAAAAAAACATAACTTTGGTTTTGTCAATATTAACAGTTAATACCCATCTCCTACAGTATGTGAGCAAATCATCTAAACTTTGTTGTAATCCTTCTAAATAATATAGATTAATTGCATTTATAATTCTTATTTTTGATTTAAGGAACGGTAGACGATGACCTAGCTCATCAGAAACATGATATGATGGCTACAGCAGTGCCAACAGTGCAGGCACAATTTTCGAAATCAAAATTTCTTAATTGGATTAAGGCTGCAATAGCCATTTTTTACACTAAAGACGAAATAGAGCCAGTTATTGTTAATGAAGTCAAAGATTTCCAGCAGAACTCTCTAAATACTATTTCCTCATCAAACAGCCTACCAGCCGGAAGCACCTGTTCAAACTGCTGTACGGAAAATCTGATTGTTTGTCCAACAAACAGAATTTGCAACGCAAAACGAGGAAAATGCAGTTACCATAAAAACGCTGCAACACAGTATCGCCCATCTGGCTGCCCGAATAAAATTTGTCATCATTTAAAATCTAAGATTCAAAGTGCACATCGATATCATGGTCCGTCATATAAAAATACGGACGCAACCAAATGGTGCAGCAATGCTTGGGAAATTGCTAAATGTTATCTCCCGCCAGACGGATACAAGGATGTCTCGAACGCTGGAGATACTGATTTTAATGGCATCATTAGTGTCATTATTAATCACAAAGGATTTGAGGCGAAAATAAACGACGACTTGTCCAAGAAGAATAATATATTTGACAAGGTAACAGTTAAATAATGATATTTATATTTATTGTATATTTAATTTGGTTTCTAAATTTTCTTTAATTTCACAAATGTTTGCTTCATATTAGGAAACAATAAAAGATCATATGAGTCATCATTGAAACAAGTTATGAACGAGCAATTGACTACATGACACGTTTGGTTTGTTGTTTTGTTTTTCATGTCACAGTCTGTCCATCTTTGTATAAAAGACGTGCTCTACAACTTCATAACGAAATTTTTGAAATTTTTATCGCAAACTATATATTGGTCAAAGAAATATCATATCTGAACTATTCACTTGATCAAACTGTACTGACATATTTCCAATTTAGGGTAGAGATGTTGGTAAAGCTGTCAGACATTCTCCTAATCTGGAGGTCGAGGATACAGATCTAACACAGTATTTACCATTTTAAACAATATTTTGACGGATCCTGGATTCATAAAATTGAATAAATCACCAAACAATGCAATTCAAAAATTGGCAAAGGTAATCATTTTTGTTTCTATCAGTATGTCAAATGTAACTTTGTTATTCTGGCATTATTTCCTATTCCCAAGAAACTGATTCTCTAAAACACATTTGAAATAGTTTGTTGACTGTTTTTAAGAGTAATCCTCTCAAAATGAAAATGTGACAAAGAAATTTATTAATAAATACTCGTATTAATATCGTTTTGAAATGCTATGTGCCAATGCTTACATTCCTAAATTATTTCATAATAAATGTTTCAAATTGTTCCACATTAAGAAAGGCTAGGGAAATCCGTATTTTAAAAAATTTTGGAAAAAAATCTATAAAATAAAAAAGATTAACTTAATTGCATGAAAATGTATGAAATGAGGCACTATATATTAAATGACACGGTATTTCTGTAAAAAATTGATAATAAATAGTTCGATGCACTCAATCCTTTCTCCATAATTTCAGCTTCAAAGTGACGATTTGATCATTGGAAAAGACGTTGTACGTAAAGTTTTGGAAGATGTGGGAAAAACGATTCAGGAACAAATAAGAAATGAGATGGATGAGTACAAACAGGAGACTGAAAAAAAGAAAATTAGAGCTTATTGACATAATTAACTTAAAAGTAAAAGATATTGAAGATAAAGGAAATGTTTCACTTGCCAAGCTGAATGATACGATAAACTCGTCCATTGATGCTTTTGATGCTAAGGTAAAACAATCGATTCAGGAGATAGAAAACTTGGCAAGAAAAGGAAAAGAAACCCTTGAAAGTGTTGCCAATGATGGAGTTCAAAACGTCAACAAAGAAAAGGAAAATGCAATAAAGGAGAATACAAAAAGCTGCAGAAAATGTAAGGCAATACTTCAGTTATCTAAGCCTACATATGTTCTTACAAACCTAAGCTAATTAAAAGCAACAAAATGTACGTTTTACAACCTACACTTTCCTTATTCAAATAATTCTTCTTATTATTTTTATGACATTAATGATAATTAATCATATGTTTATTTTCACACTTTTATCGTCATGCATTATGTTTATCATAATATGTTTTCAGCCAGAGGTAACGATGCCGATGCTGAGATCTCCGAGGAAACATATCAAAAGAAGAAAAAAGGTAAAAAACAACCATAATTTTATCACCATTATGAATAATATAACAAGCTCAACATAAACATACATGCTAATATCATGCTTATCGTTCTTAGAAACATCATAAAGCTGAAAACATTTTTGAAGAACACGCTTCATTTTTTCATAACGAGTATAAGGTTTTGTATATATTTTATGCACATGGAAATATAAAATAACGATAGTTCTAATATATATTTAATATATAATTAATTATTGTATATATATTTATTTGGTAGAATGATACTTTGCGTGGTCTTCTTCATTTGGAATGAGTTTTAAGTCAGTTGGGTCAAGGGTACGAGTGCTAAAAATTGAATTTTACACATTTGCTCATATAGCCTTCATTTATGGACAGATGCCTTTCATATTTGGTAGGAAAATATCTTGCACGGTCTTCTTCCTTTGGATTAAGTAAGAAGTCATTGGATGAAGGTCAAATGTGCCAAAAATGGTTTCTGACACATAAAGGCTTTTACAGCCTTTATTTATTGAATGAAGTTTACTATATTTGGAAGGAACATATCTTGGATGGTCCGTGTTGGGAATTACAAGATTAATGAAATTGATTCTAACAGTAGATTTCTTACAATTTTTATACAGCCTTTGTATATTTTTTCAATGTCTTTACAAGAAACATACCTTAGGTTTTTCTTCACGTTTTGGTGGAGTATTGGGGCACTGGGTTCAAGGTAAAGTTCTACCTGTACAAATGGTTTCATAATTTACACACTTACTAATCCATACAAAGTATATGATTTGGGCAAGTAACATAACTATGGCTTCCATTTGCACAAAGTTATGGCCCTTTTGAGCACCTAGAAAATGAATAATGGTTAACCTAAACCGGCAAGTTGGAAATATCTTATGTTCTATCTGAACTAATGGCTTAATAATTTTCACACTTACTTATCAATATAATGTACATGATATTGCCAAGTTATATAAATGTGCCATCCATTTTCCCAGTAATTTCCCTTTTTATCACTTTGAAAATAGGGCCTTGTATGGTTAACCTATTCCGCCAAGTTGGATTTATCAAAAAATTTCACCTAATTCCTTAATTCATTTAATGATATCTTTCATATTTGTTAGGTGGATACCTTTAACGGTCCTTTAATTTTTTGTAGCGTTAGGCGTCTCTAGGTCAAGGTCAAGGTCAGTTGTGTAAAAAAATAAATCGAAACATTTCTGCTCATACAGCATTTATTTTTAAGTTAATGTATTTCATGTTTATAATAGTCATACCAAGGGAGGTCCTCTTTCTTTTCCTTTAGTAAGGGGCCATTTGGGTCAATGTCACTAATGTCAAAAATAGATTTTTACACTTTTACAGGTGTATTAACCTTATTCTATCGACAGATGTCTTGTATATTTTGAATGAACATAAAATTGAGGTATTCTCATTTGGATGGAGGTAAGGTTAGTTGGGTCAATGTCACCATTGCTAAAAATAGATTTTTACACTTTTGCTCATACAGCCTTTATTTATTGTCAGATTTGTATTATAATTGGTAGGAAGATAACTTACATGGTATTCTTCCTTTGGATGGAATTAGGGGTCAAGGTCGACATGCGCTAAAAATAGATTTTTACACTTTTTGCCCATACAGCCTTATATATTGACAGATTTATTTCATATTTGGTAGGAAAATAAGTTGCAATAATTCTTCCTTTGGGATGGAGTTTAGGGGCAGTTGGGTCAAGTCACCAGTGCTAAAAATTGATTTTTTACACTTTTCCCATACAGCCTTTATTTTTTAATATTGTTTTACTGACAAGAAATCTGACCGGGGCATTTGTGTTTAAACAAAACCGTTTTGTTTCAACTTCATCACTAGTCATTATAATGACTTACCAACGTACATCAATCACAGAAAGTTCAAATGTGTACAGTTTGACATTTTTTATACAATTTACTTATTTTCACATGAGTATCGTTAATGCACATTGAAATATAAAAATACACAAGGGCCAGGTGATGAATAAAAAGTTTGGCGTTGATGCAACTAGAGCTTAGACACATGTCAGAGAGGCGTAATCGTTCTATATAAAAATAGAAGGGCAAATTCCAGACACCTTACACTTTACTTTGCACATCCGAAACAGCTATATAATGTTGTTAGCGTAAAAAAGTCTGGAACCAGTGTACTATGGTTCTAGAGAGAATTTCGTCTGGAAACTTGGCAATAAATATCTACGAAATAGACTCAGCACCAACATTTGGAATGTTATACTTTCGGTCAACGTCCGAATTTGATGGATGTGCATGTTATAAGGAGGCACTTGTTTACAAATTCCCATCTGTACTTAAAAATGCGAGAATTTGCATTTTACTCCAATCAAGGTTTATATTTTACTTGTAATCATGTTGTATACGTAATCGATTCAATAAAGAATGCACCTACAGTAACATTATTATTTGATCCTTAAGTTTAGATAAGGAATTTGCTGACGAGAATGTACCAATGTTTATGCGTTTGAACAAGTAATTCAATTTCTGTCGCGTATAAACACGAAAATATTAAATACATAGAAAATTGGTTTGCTAGAGCTATCAGTGTTGATTTAATTCTACTTGATGATTATGGCATGCGTGTTCCGGTCAACTGAAATCTGTAGAATATATATTTGACATCATTTATGAACACCATTTATGGACATTATATACTGGACGCATATATATTTCTGAATTAGTATAAAAAAAGAACTCAAATGCTCCACATTTCTGCACCAAATAATATGCACGTGACCATATCAATAAAATATAAACAAAAATTCCTTTCTTCTAATTGGAAAAAGAGATTTGAAATCTAAAGTCACTCACTTCAATAACAAAAATGATTAATGCAATAGAGTAACCATTCGGATATATCTACAGCTTTTCTGTCAGCAAGTCAGATTTATCAGTATGTAAAGCTTGTGTTTGCAAATTGGATGTAGCGGTATATATAGCTTGTGTCGGCAAGATGAATAAAAAGGGTACTATGAAATACTCACGTCAAGAAATTGGATGTAACAGTATGTTTAGCTTCTGTCGACAAGTGGGATAAAACACTAGTATAGCTTCTGTCAGTTAGTTTGATATAACACTAATATGTCGGCAAGTTTTGAAGTATAAATATCTTGTTTTGGCTTGTTGGATGTAACGATTTAATAGCTTTAGAGCTTATTATGTTCCTATCACCGGAAGATGAAGCGCTGAATATAAAATTGTTTTTCATGAAAGTAACAAAATGTAAACAATATATTACCTTGACTTCCTAAAAAACAATAATTAATTGTAACCCCATCAATTGCCATAAGTAACAGAATCAAAATATGACTCAGGCAATTGGCTAATTAGAAGCGTTATGAAAACTACATCAGGGCGTCAAGAAGAAGCATATGAGAAACAAATACATTTCGGATAAATAATCATTATGGCATTTATACGTTCACAAAAGTTATTATTGATAGTCTAGACGTAATAATTCAGACGTTCTTTAAAGGGGGGGGGGGTAAGGCATGATAAAATATGATACACAAGATGAACAGGGAAATGCGGCGTTCAATGAACGCAACCCCCAAACGACCCAGCAACAAGAACCAGTGGCAAGGAGCCCAGACGGACCCCAATCAAAAGCGGGACAGGACACAAGGCAGAACACGGATAGGCCAGTCACTAAAATGATAAACAACTTGTAACTTGTAAGGAATTCAAAGAAAACAATTACTAGTAAATGATTGAATGATTTGTAAATGACAATGAATTCAAAGAAACAAATAAGTGATTGAAAAATAGGCCCACAAAGCTAAAGGGCACATTGGAAGGGGACAGGAAACCCGGGGAAGGGGGTATATTAAAAAAATAAAACTAGGGGCAAATGGGAAGATACTTACCGTAGACGAGAAAACAACAAGGGACACAAGCAAAAGTGGCACCAAAACAGTAAGAAACTACATAGACATACATCTGAGGAAAAAAGAGGGGCGCCTCCTTGGAACGGTCGGCAGAACAAGTACTACTGGGGAGTTTAAACCGGTTAATGGTGCACCAACCTCACTCTTAGCCCCACCATGTTCCTATCAACGAGACAGGGTATATAAAATGAATCCCCGCCAAGTGAAATTTTAACAGTTGTTATGGTTTACAAAAGGTTAAATAAATAAAACACCAGAATGATCATGTAGAAACATATAAATGTAAACCCAATGACCATAACAAAAGTACTCAATATCCTAAAGAAAGACAGAGCAACAAGAAAATCACCTACAAGGGCCCAACGAAGCAAGGCAGAAGACGAACATTAAGGCATCTTTAAAAACTATACATCAACGAGTCTCCCACTTGGTCTGTCAGATATAATCAAGTGAGGAAACTGTAGAGTCCAAAAGGGTTGAGCACTAAGTATGCAGTATGTCTTAAAAAAGGAGAGTCATAACCTCTTTGAATAAAAAGTTTAATGATTTTAGTAAAAACAGCAGAAAAATTACCATGACCCAAAATCTTACGAAGGTTGTAAAACACATCGCCATAAAAACCAGGCTGGCTAATCCCTTGTCACAGAGAGCTTTTAAATCACTATTGAATTTTGAAATTAAATCAAAATTACGATTGTAAAATTTTGTAAAATATTTCCGTAATTAATGATAGCGGTAGCCCTGTTTAAGAAGCTTTTTGGTAATGAAAATATGCCGCTCGTTGAAATCCTTTTGAAATCCTTTTCGT